ATACGGCGAAACCCCAACTCTACTAAAAACACTAGCTTGGCATGATGGCACATGCCTGTAATCCCAGCTACTCACAAGGCTGAGGCTTGATAATTGCTTGTGCCTGGGAGGTGGAGGTTGCAGTGAGCGGAGATCACACCTCTGTCTCAAAAAAAAAAAAGGAAAAAAAATTCTCTCTGAGCAATTTTTGGAGGGTTTCCAGTGTATGGGTCTTGCATATCATTTGTCAAATTTTTATTTTTTTAAAAACACAGTCTCATTCTTGTTGCCCAGGCTGGAATGCAGTGGTACAGTCTTGGCTTACTGTAACCTCTGCCTCCCGGGTTCGTGTGATTCTCCTGCCTCAGCCTCCGGAGTAGCTGGGATTACAGGCACCTGCCACCACACCCAGTTAATTTTTTTGTATTTTTAGTAGAGACAGGGTTTCACCATGTTGGCCAGGCTGGTCTCAAACTCCCGACCTGGTGATCTGCCTGCCTCAGCCTCAGCCTCCCAAAGTGCTGGGATTACAGGCGTGAGCCACCAAGCCTGACCCATTTGTCAGATTTATAGTGAGTCTTTCACATTTTTTGAAGCTCATGGCATCACTCACTTTTAATTCCTGATTATACATTGCTAATACATAGAAATACAACCGTTTTGTATGTGGGGCATGTATCCATAATCTTGCTAAGGTCACTTATGAGCTCAAGTAGATTTTTGTAGATTCCATAAGCTATGTGGTCTCTGATTAAAAACAGTTTAATTTTTTACCTTTCAGTCTGGATGCCTTCTTTTTATTTTTCTTGTCTTGCTGCATAGGCTGGAACCACTACTGTTACGTTGACTGGAAGTAAAAGTGGATATTCTTGCCTTGTTCCCAATCTTTTTTTGTTTGTTTTTGAGATGGAGTCTCACTCTGTCACCCAGACTGGAGTGCAGTGGTGTGACCTAGGCTGACTGCAACCTCCATCTCCTCAGTTCAGGCAATTCTCCTGCCTCAGCCTCCCAAGTAGCTGGGATTTCACGTGCCCACCACCACACCTGACTAATTTTTTTTTGTATTTTTAGTAGAGACAGGGTTTCCCCATGTTGGCTAGGTTGGTTTTGAACTCCTGACCTCAAGTGATCTGATCACCTCAGCCTTCCAAAGTGCTAGGATTACAGACGTGAGCTACGGCGCCCAACCCTTGTTCCTAGTCTTAGGAGAGAAGCATTCAATCTCTGTGGCAGGCAAATTCTAAGATGTCCCCCAAGATTCCTGCCCCCTAGGGTACATGGCCTAAAAAATCCCCAGGACTGGCCAGGTGCCGTGGCTCATGCCTGTAATCCCAGCGCTTTGGGAGGCTGAGGAGGGTGGATCACGAGGTCAGGAGTTTGAGACCAGCCTGGCCAACATGGTGAAACCCCGTTTCTATCAAAAATACAAAAATTAGCCCAGTGTGGTGGCATGCACCTGTAGCCCCAGTTACTCAGGAGGCTGAGGCAGGAGAATTGCTTGAACCCGGGACACACAGGCTGCAGTGAGCTGAGATCACGCCACTGCACTCCAGCCTGGTGACAGGGTGAGACTCTATCTCAAAAAAAAAAAAAAAAAAAAAAAAAAACTCAGCTCTAATATTTTGCCCATTTTTTAATTGGGTTGTTTTCTTTTTATTGAATTTCAAAAATTCTTAAGATATTTTGGACAGACAAGGTGGCTCACACCTGTAATCCCAGCACTTTGGGCTTTGGGAGGTCAAGGCGGGTGGATCATGAGGTCAGGAGATCAAGACCATCCTGGGTAACACAGTGAAACCCCGTCTCTACTGAAAATCCAAAAATTAGCCAGAAGCGGTGGCACGTGCCTGTAATCCAAGCTACTCAGGAGGCTGAGGCAGAGAATTGCTTCAACTCCAGTGACAGAGTGCAGTGAGCCGAGATCTCACCACTGCCCTCCAGCCTGGCAACAGAGCAAGACTCTGTCTCAAAAAAAAAAAAAAAAAAAAAGATATTTTGGATTCAACACCTTGATCAGATATGTGACTTACAAGTACTTTCTCCCAGTGGCTTTAACTTTCATGCTCTTAAGGGTGTCTTTCAAAGATCAGAAGTTCTTAATTTTGATAATGTCCAATGTATTCTTTTTTTTTTACATTATGCTTTTAGTGCCATATTTTTAAACCATTTACCTAGCGTTAAATCATGACATTTTCCTTCCACTAGTGTCCCTCAAAAAAGAAAAAAAAAATGTCATGACATTTTTCTCCTAAGTTTACTTACAAAAGTTTTATAGTTGTTTATTTTGCAAATAGATCAGTGCTGATTTTGAGTTAGTTTTTGTTTGGGGTACAGGATATAAATCAAAATGTTGGCATATGGATATTTAATTGCTCCACCAGAATTGGTTGAAATTACTATACTTCCTCCAATGAAGCCATCTCGCCTTTATCAAAAATCAATTGGTGGGGCCAGGCACTGGGGCTCATGCCTGTAATCCTGGCATTTTGGGAGGCTGAGGTGGGCAGATCACTTGAGGTCAGGAGTCCGAGGCCACCCCGTTTCTAATAAAAATACAAAAATTAGCCAGGCATGGTAGCACACACCTGTAATCCCAGCTGCAGGCTGAGGCAGAATTCCTTGAACCTGAGAAGTGGCGGTTGCAGTGAGCCGAGATCGAGCTACTGCACTGTCACCTGGGCGTTAGAGCAACATTATCTAAACTAACTTCTCTAAACTCTCAGCAA